CATTTTTGGTAAAATTCGGATTTTGACTATAAAGTCCTACTTGTGGACTTATTTTGATCATTGCGTGATATAATAAAATTCTCTAAACTTCAAAGACCTTTTTTCTATGTTTTTTTGGTGTTATTCTTGTGTTCTTCCCTGTGAAATTGCTAGTAGAACTATTGAAACACAATTATTCATTACATAGTAAATTACCTAATACACAAGTTTTGAACTCAAGATTAGGAGCATCGAAATATTGCTTTTGTGAATTATATAATCTGCTTACCAACACTTTGATTATTTTCACTGTCTTTCGTGTGTTATTTCCTGTTATGTATAANGAACTCAAGAGTAGGAGCAGCGAAATATTGCTTTTGTGAATTATATATTCTGCTTTCCAACTCTTTGAGTATTTTCACTGTCTTCTGAGTGTTATTTCCTGGTATGTATAATGGTGTTATGTATTTTCTAATTGTCAATATTTTTACGTACTAAGTCAAGGGCAGTGTCAAGTTTATACAAGGAGCATGTCGACGCTCTGTCCAAGTAGCTTAGCCAGTGGAAACAAAGTGGAAGAGATTGAAGGGAAGGAGAAAGTCGCAAGCAAAAATTTAAAGTTCAAACCATTTAATCTCTTTATCGTGTAAGATGGTTTTACAATGCACAGGACTCAAGATTTCTTCCTTATCCTTTATGCATGTATCATATTCAAATCTGATATTTAAAAATCTTATTTAGGATGAAGTTCTTATGATGGATATTACTGCCGCTGAAGAAGAAGAAATCACACAGTGGAAAATAGCTGCAGAACAAGAAGCTGTAGTAGGGAAAGCAGTTGAACAGAAGTATATTGCACAGGTATAGCTGAGAAAGGACGACTCATGTTTCATCTGTGGTCATTTTTGTAATTTGACCGGGTTTATATTGTACATGGATTATGTTTATGCGTTTTGTTTGACATATGTCGAATGCTTTAATTTTTCATAACTTTTTGTAAAATTCGATTGTGCCTCCTAACTTAAAATGTATGCTTCCATTACTGCTCTTACGTCATGCAGCAAATGAAACTACCCATAGCCTAGCGATACAAGCATTTGTAGATTTTGAAAGCAATATTTAGTTATTCAGAGCTTCACCTTGCCCTTTACACATTTCAATTTTTGAACCTACACATAAGCAAACCGATTGTCTTGATTTTTGATTTTACCAACCCAACAAAAGATTTGGTTTGGGATATCGATTCTAGCTCAAGCCAAATTCAGGCGGGCTAATTTAAATTACATAATCAATCAATTATAAAACACAATCAACTTAGTCAATCATAAATAACTAAGTCCACAGAAAATCTAAAATAAAATTAAATACTGAATTAATGGAGACATGATTATATTGCCATCGCAATAAATTGTTAGCTCAATTTTCGTATTTATTTAGGGAGAGATTTTTTGAAAATCATTTTCCTTCAAAATCATATTTACCCACACATTTATGTCTCAAACACTTTTCTTTACCTTTTAACTATACAATCTCNAATCATATTTAACCACACATTTATGTCTCAAAAACTTTTCTTTACCTTTTAACTATACAATCTCCTACAGAACTGTTTTCCACTTGAAAAGTCTTTTCCAAACAAGCTTTTAATGACATAAATGATCACCATTATCGCAAATCACAAAAGACATATAATCCTATTTATTTAAAGATATAAATGTGAAGATACATACAACCAAAGAAATCCAAATTATGAGTAGAAAATCAAAAAATGCAAAATGAATGCTCAACGTCCGAAAATATTGTACAATGGACATAGCGTGATAGCGAAGCCAAAAGAAACGGAGAAAGTTGAATCCCGAAGTTAAACTTTACCCTGATGAGCGCAAATTCTTGAAACGATCGCGCTACACTACCCAAGTCTGTTGACAAAGCTGGGTTACAAAATGAGGTGGTAAAAATAAAAAGACTTAAATGTCCTTCTTCTATCTTTTAGTCAAATCAAAGTTTTCTACTCCTAATATAGGATAAGTTTGATGTATTTCTTCTAATAAATAGAAAAGCCAATTATGCTCTTATTTATCAATATAGTTTTTATCAAAACAATCGTTTAATATTCTAATTTATTAATTTCTTTATTAATTCTGACTATATTTTCTATAAAATATAAAGGCACAGGTTTATTTCTACTATTTTTCAGAAAATAATCAAGCACGGTATAAAATGATTTAATTTCTTCTCTTTTCCTGTCGCAATTAATTTCTAAATATTGAATGATAGTAACTAAAACTTCATAAATATCATA